CCAACAAAGCTTCCATTTGCATTTATAACTTCTTCTGGGAAAAGAGAATAGTTTCATTCTGCTAAGGATGGAAGCAGTGAGGAAAGGTAGGTCAGGAGAGGAGATGAATTCTGTTCATTTCTCTAGTCAATACTATCTACTCTCTTCATTCATTTCTTCCTTAGATGTTCATTGAGCAAATATACTGTGCTAAGAAACTTAGTAGAACATGGAGATTCACATGGATGGTTGGAGTCTGATGGGAAAAAAAGCCTGTATATGGCTAATATGCAATCATAAGATTCTATTAGAATGCCTAAGAAGAAATATTTCTATGTCTGTATTGAGAAGATGAGGAGGTTAAGGATGACGGTAGAAGGTTTCACAGCAGGCATGATTCAGCTTTTTTTGGAGATTAGTGTAAACATGTCTAGAGGTGGTGTCATAGTTAGGTAGCAAACAGCACAAAAAATGAGAAGACCTTTTAGATAAGTGGATATACAAACATGTCATGTACTGGAACTGCACACAGTTATATTTTTGTATTTTTGTGAAAATTGGTCAACTAATTCTTTCTCAGAACTCAGGAATTCATTTAGCCAAACTTAAAAGCATCTAACCTAAAAATATTAGCAAAGAGAGAAAACAGACGGCTTTCTTTCTACATTCTTAATTGAGATTCACTTTGAAAGTTGATTTTTAAGTTATATTTGGACATTTTTGGGTAATAGAGATACCCTATTATCGCAGAACATTGGCATCCACCTCTAGTTTATACTTTTTAAAGTAATTACAGGGAAATGTATTTATAGTTGACTTTGACTTTCTTAACAGTTATTTAATAAGACAAGCTTGCAATACTGTTCTTGTGAGCCAAGAGCCTGTAAGCTCTCTGGGGTCTAATTATCTCTTGATAATCTTGCCCCTTGATGACATCTGTATTGCTATTCTAAAACACGCTTATTTTGGAAAAGGACATACATTTTGTAGTGTAATAACATTAAACTGTCAGACCTGAGTGTTAACAACATTTTGCTCAAAGAGCTTTCAGGGAAGATTAGCTCATGCCTTATATGTGGCTTATCAGACAATCTCTAAGATGTTCAGAAATTATGTTTATCACAACTACGTTTGTTTTCCTTTGAAAAGGAACCTTGCAGTTTTAGAACCTGGCTTTGATTTCTTTGAGCGGTACTGTTTACATTTTAATCTGTTAAAATTTTCATGAAATCATGAAGCCACTTGGGGTGATATAAGAAAGAAATAGAACTGGCATGAGAAAAGGATTGAAGTCACATCCAAGTAAGCCATTCATATTTAAATGTTATGTTCTGGAAGCAGAAATCTTCAGTTCAAGCTCAGTACTTACTGTCTCAATGAGTTTATGGGAATTATTAGTTTAATATATACACAGAGGGTAGTGAAAGATACAGGCACAATATCCTTCAAAGTTGAATAGAGCACACATGTCAAAGAAGGGTTTATTGATAAACTTTTGTGTTTAAGCATTAACACAGATAGCTAAAATATCATTCTCCGTTTTTGGAAAATGAAGACAAAAAGGGAATAAGAAAACCCAACCATTCAGGAAAAGATGATTTACACAAATAAAACAAAATAACAAAGTTTCTGATTTATGTGCATAATTTGCTTTCCAAATGCTGGAAGAAAATCACTAGATTTGTCAAGGAAAATTGAACTACACAATGCGAATAATAAATAATAAGTAATAAAATTCAAGTAACCTACTATACAACAACCCAGCTAACAATACATGAAGATTTGGATGTTGCTGGTATTGGGAACAGAGAGCAACATCTGGACATGGAATTCATCTATGTCATTATAAATAGAACAATGTATATCTGAGCATCTTTTTTTTCTTCATACAAAGCCCTATAATATAAACAAAAACTAAACAGTATGATTATCTCATAATGTTAAGATAAAATTCTATGCAGTGATCCTGCAAAGCAGAACAAGTGGGTCCAGCTACCCAGTTTGAGAATAGCTGAAATGCAGTAGAGATTTTAACACAAAGTACAGTGAAAGGGATTTTCTTCCTAATGTCTCATCCCCCTCAAGAAACTATCATTCCATTGCCTCCTACTGTTCAAGGAGATATAAAGTTCATGGAACTGAAGGAGGAAGTTTTCCACAGGTCTGACAGATACAATCAGAAGGAAGGAAAAATTCATGCATAAAGACAACATGTCAGGCCATGGAAGGCAGTGTGTCTGTACTCCCGAATGAATAGACTTTTGCCATTTCAATTTAAGATTGTGTTTAAAAGATTGAATCATGCTGGTTTGGATTTTTGGGGGTGGGAATGTGATGAGAGAAAGATAGAGAGAGGGAGAGCTTGAAGTTGGATGGTTAAAGAGGTGAATAGGATCACAGAGTTGGTGAAGGAGAAAGAATATAATCGAAATATATTGTATAAAGAAAGTTTAAATAAAAAGCAAAAAAAAGAAAGAAAGAAAGAAAGAAAGAAGAAAGAAAGAAAGAAAGAAAGAAAGAAAGAAAGAAAGAAAGAAAGAAAGAAAGAAAGAAAGAAAGAAAGAAAGAAAGAAAAAGAAAAGTTGGTTCTTGAGCTGTAGAGAGTAGCTTCAGGGGATCCTATGGCCTCCCCTGGCTTCCCCAGGTACCTGTACTGGCATGCATCTACCTGTTCACAGCCATGCATGCATATGCATAATTAAAACTAAACTAAGAAAAGTATCAGAAACAAGTAAAATAGTAACATTTAATAAGCCAATAAGGAATATATTAATGAAAAGTTAAAGGAGACAAAATAATAAAAGTTAATTCTAGATTAAATTTGTGTGCTATAATTCAATGAGAATTTTTGGCTACTTATTTTTTTTCTGAAGTTGAGCAAAAGTAATTTGAATTAATGTAGAATATTCTATACATGCTACTAGCCAATAGAAATATGAAAAATACAAGATTAAAGAGTAAATAATAAATAAGAAAAAGTGAAGCCTTTTATATAAAAAACCAAGGTGCAAATACTGAAAGAACAATTGGGATAATAGGAGAGATTACAATCAAATACCCAATAGTGCATGTGTAGCTATGCAGAGGGAGAGAGAATTTGACAAAGGCCAATTATTGCCTCTAAAAATAAAAATAATTACTAGTTAATTAATGCTAGAATACTGTACTATCTACCACATAGCATAAAGAGGATCTGGTATGTTTCACTATGTACAAAAATATAATGAAGTAAGAAACTGGTAGGAGATACCTTTATTCAACAAGTCCCTTGTTTTCACTGCTACTGAGGTTATATGGGAGAGACATATGTGGATACATATTCTTACTCTACTATATTAAACAATAGTCTTCAATTCTTATCTCTTAAAGGGCACATGATGAATGGTGCTATGTTATAATCTAGAGCAGTGGTTCCCAACCGTCCTAATGCTGTGACCCTTTAAAACAGTTCCTCATCTTGTGGTGACACCCAACCATAATTTTTCAGTGCTACTTCATAACTATACTTTTGCTGCTGTTATGATGTGTAATGTAAATGTTTTGGAGACAGTGGTTTGCTAAAGGGGTTATAGCACAGGTTGAGAACCACTGATCTAAAGGGTTGGAAAAGTTTTTCTCAAAGGACACATCTACTCTTTATAATCCCTGAATGACAATCCATCTTTTACTCAGCATTTCAGACAATAACTTGTTGTGGTGAATGGTATAGAAATTCTCTTCATAGACTCATGTCTTTGAATGCTTGGCCCACAGAGAGTTGCCCTATTAGGAGGTATGGCCTTTTTGAAGGAGGTGTGGACTTGTTGGAGAAAGTATGCCACTGTGGAGGTGGGCTTTGAGGACTTATATGCTCAGTCTACACCCAGTGTGAATCAGAGTTTCTTATGCTGCCTGTGTCAGGGTGTAGAATTCAGCTCCTTTTCCAGCACCATGTCTGCCTGCATGCTGTCATGCTTCTTGCCATCAAAATAATGGATTAAACTTCTGAAACTGTAAGCTATTCCCAATTAAATGTTTTTCTTTGTAAAAGTTGCCACACATGGTGTCCCCTCATAGCAATAAAACCCTAACTAAAACACTTATTCAGAACAATCAGCAATCCTCTTCTACTGTTCAGCAATATTGGTAGTCTTTTTGTGTTGGCCCATGTCCTAGTCAGGGTTTCTATTGCTGTGATGAAATATCATGACCAAAAAGCTGGGGAGGAAATGCTTTATTTGGTTTGTAAATCAGCATTGCAGTCCATCATTAAAGGAAGTCAGGACAGGAACTGAAGCAGGGATGTAACCCAGAGGAAGGAGCTGATGCAGCATGGAGGGATGCTGCTTATTAGATTGCTTCTCATGGTTTGCTCAGTCTGCTTTTTCATAGAACCCAGAAACACTAGCCCTGGGACAGCAATCCAAAAATGGGCAGGGCCATCCCCTATCACTAATTAAGAAGATGCCCTACAGCTGGATCTTATGAAGGCATTTACTCAATTGATGTTCCCTCCTTTCAGATAGCTCTAGCTTGTGTCAAGTGGACATAACACTCGCCAGCAAAGCCCATGATATTTTTTAAGCTTTATTATGTTCCAAATACTGTTAAAGTTAATAGAATATCAGCCCTCATATTATATATATATATATATGTATATATGTATATATGTATATATATATATATATACAAATTACACTATACTGATTAAACAGGTTGTACTTATGTATTTAGAACATGTGTTTAACAATTGTAGAAACAGTGGCTAAACCATGAATTTTAAAAAAAAAATTAGGCATGTTTTTTAATTGAAAATACTTACAACATATTCAGATCACAATTTCTCTTTCCCCATCTCTTCCCAAATCCTCCCTATCTATGCACTCATCCAATTTACTGCAATATTTCTCTTTTTAGTAAACAAAAGGCAAATGTAAAAACAAACAAGAATAACAAAACAGCAAAAAGCACAAGGAACACACATACACACTAAAACAAAACCTTGAAGGCACAAAATCAGAAATCATAATACACAACTGAAAGACTGGTAATACTTTTTTAATTCCAAAAACAAAACAATATGATCCAAAATAATCTACAAAAACATTATTGAGTTTATTTGGCATTGGCCATCTACTGCTAAGCATGGGGCCTGCCTTCAAATGTGTTTTGTATACCCTGTATACCCAGTGAGAGTCCATTGGAGAAAACTGATTTTTGTTTTGCAAATAGCAGTCAGTTGGAGACAGCTTCATGGTTAGGCATGAGTGTTCTGTTCACTCTGTTTCTAAGGGCTAAGACCCTGTTGTCTTGAACCTGTAAGGCCCTGTGCATGCTGCCATATCTGTGTAAATTCCTGTGTGCATCAGCTCTACTGTGTCTGGAAGACATTGTTTCCTTGGTGTTCGCCATCCTGAACAGCTCTTAAAATCTTTCAACCTCTTCTTCTGCGTTGTTTTCTGAGTCCTAATGGGACAAAGTTGATATAAAACCTCTCATTGAGGGCTGAGTGTTTGAAAGTCTCTCACTCCTTGCACATTGTCAAGTTGTGGGTCTTTGTGTTAGTTCCCATCTGTTGTAAGAGGAAGCTTCTCAGATGATAGTTGAATGAGAGGCAATGATCTATGGATATAGCAGAATGTCATTAGGAATCATTTTATTACTATGCTTTTTTAGCAAATTATTTTGGTTTTTATCTAGGCTCATGGCCTATCTAGTCCCAGGTTCTTGCTGGGGCATGTCTTTCTATATGCTGTGGATATATGTTATTCTCATTGGTTAATAAATAAGCTGCTTTGGCCTATGGCAAGGCAGCTTAGAGGCAGGTGGGAAATTGAAGGAGAGAGTCGGGAAAGAGAATGGCAGAGTCTAGAGAGAGACACCAGCACCACCAGGAGAAACATGTGAAATTACCAGTAAGCCATGGCAATGAGGTAAAATATAGATTAATAGAAATGGGTTAATTTAAGGTATAAGAGCTAGCTAGCAAGAGGCCTGCCATAGACCATACACTTTATAAATAATATTAAGATTTTGAGTGATTATTGTATAAGTGCCTGCAGGACTATGGGGCCAAGTGGGACCACAGAAACCTTCTGACTAATGGTTCAGGACAACTGAAATGTTATTTATGGTTGCATCTCATGTAGTTGACTTTAAAGCCAATCAGATAGCAGTCGGTTACTCACATAAAATTTGTGCCACTATAGTCATTTTTTTAAATTATTATTTAATTTTGTTCTCTGAAGGTTATGAATCTGCCCCTCCTAGTAGCAAGTAGTTCAGAAGTGAGATAGAAGTCCATTAGTATCTATCCCTTCTTCCAATCCTGATAGTTGATGATCAGCTTTTTATGAGAACCCATTGCAAGACCATAAGAAACTTAATGCATTTTTACTAGTTACTTTAAGGTATTTTTGTCTTATATTTTATTCCAATTGAAATTTATATCTTTAATCCTCTTCAAATAATTGTTGGTAGAAAGAATGAGCATAATACCTTTTTTTTTTGGCTTGGTTTTATTGTATTATGAGCATCTTGATCATTATGTTCTTAAAATTTCTTAGGACAAATTACATCAAATCTACACCATTGCAGCTCTTTATTTCAATAATTATTCTCCGTATATTTATCTTACTCATTTGGCTGATAATACTGTAATTGTTGCATCTAAAATGCAAAACACAGAATTTCTTTAAGTGTAGGGAACTATTGATGAGAGAGCCTATGAATTTATCTATTGCTAAGCTGTAAAGTACTATGTAAGTAAAGCTGACTCGCAGCTAAGGCACCATTCATTTTAAGGCACACTACCCTTTCAGAAATATTAGTAGTTTAAAACATTTCTATTTACACAGAACAGTATTAACTGTTGGTCATATTCAATATTAGGAATTTATGCAACTCTTCCTTATTAAGTGTTACATCTGCCCCTTAACTGGATTATGAAGATGCAAGCATTCCATACAGACATACAGATGAAAGGCATCCACACATAAGAATATGATCATAAATATTACCTTGAGTCGATGGCCATTATTTTCAGCATGTATAAAATATTCCTACCACTTTAAAACTATATTTATGATTACACTTACTTGACAACCACTTTTCTATTAAAAATAAAAAGTGTTCCTTCAGGCATATAACTTATATCTTCTTTAATAATTCAAGTAATACTCATTTTTTTTAAAGTTTATTCCAATTGTACCCTTATTGTTAGTCTTAAAAGCCTGAGTAATTGCATTTAGCATCAGATGACAATCCCTGGCTAGGCTTTCTTTGGAAGCATAGTTATTTTGTCTTTTACATTATGTTCCGCTGAGGTTGTGCTCTCATGAGAATCCTGCCCTCCTACACAAACAGTTTCTGGAGACATCTGCAAGAGATACCTTCACAGTTGTCTCTGCTAAGTCCCTATGGAGACTTTTTCTATTTTTAGGCCAACTTTAGATTAGCAGGTTTGAGGTGTTTACACTGCACTTGCAGCTCCACAGGCACTTGTGGTTTCCTTGGATGTTCTGATTCCACGGGATGATGGTTTCTGTTAGTGGCGTGGGGGTATGGTACCCTTCTCAAGACTGGTAAGTGAAGACTTTTGTATTCTGATGAGAGGGGACATAGCATCTTTCTAAATTACATAATACAAAGACATCAGTACTTGATCCTGGGTACTAAGCACTCTGGGTTGCTTTATTATATGAGAACTAAAAATGGTATACTCAATAACAAAAATAACAGGCTTACAGTATTACTGAAATATTATTAACAGAGCAACATATTTGGCTACCATATCATCCCAGTACTTTCCCCTTTAATTCCCTCTAATCCTTACACTACTTTCTTATAAGATTTCATTCTCAGAGGGTAGTGAAATAATGCTTTTGTACACTGATTTAATAATACGCTGATTGGTCAGTAATCAGGCAGGACGTATAGGTGGGATAAGCAGACAAAGAGAATTCTGGGAAGAGGAAGGATGAGTGAGGAGATGCCAGCCTGCCACCCAGAGAGCAGCAAGTAATGGCACACAGGTTAAAGCCACGGAACATGTGGTGACATATAGATTAACAAAAAATTGCATGAGTTTAAATGTAAGAGATAGTCAGTAGTTAGCCTGAGCTAATGGTCAAGCAGTTATAATTAATATAAGCCTCTGTATGTTTACTTGGATCTGAGTGGCTACAGACCAGGCAGGACACAGGAAAACTTCAGCTACATCACAGTAAGACTGACATCCAGATTAGTGCTGGTCTAGCTGCAAAACATCCAAACACATCCTCTAAACATAGCCAAGCAGAAATTCCTTTGAATATTGTAATTTCTTTTTAAAATAATTCTTTATTTTTATCTTTCATTTTATTTATATTTTTCATGAAATTTTCATATGTGAATTCATTGTGTTTTGATCACATCCTCTCTTCATTCTTTCTCAAACTCCCCACAAAACCTCACCAAATCTCCATCTCAACTTCATGCCCTCTTTTATAATTATTTATTTAATTATTCACATATAAATGTTGAAGCCCAATTAGTGTCTCCCTCCCAGATTGAGTTCTTTCACTTCTAGCTTGCCTATCATTTTGCTCTTTGTCTCTAAACTCTCAAAATCCTTTCCATTTGAAAATTAGGATCATCTTGAGATGCTTTCAATTCAATATTGCAGTGAGCCTGGTGATTATATGAGATCTGTGTTAACATGGTCAAAGCAAGCTAATTCAATGCAAAACATAAGTTTTTTTTTTTTAAATTGGTGCTGTTTATTGCCCAGAGGAAATAGTACTGAAATTTTAAAACAGCTTTCTGTATATATTTAAACCATACTGTCAAAAAAAAAGTTTCGTAATTTATGAAATTCACAATATTTCATCTTAAAGGGGTGATATGATTCTGACATTTCATCAGTATCAAACTCAGATAATTTCTATGGAAATTCTGTTCAGTTTTTGTATTGTTTTCAATAAAGGTGTGTGGCTTCTTAGCTGTTTCCTTAACCTAGCTGAACAATCATAGGAGAATTGAATTAATTATTTATTCACCTACAATTGCATTTCTTCTCTTACATATTTCTTTACAATTTCTAAATAATTAAGTAGGCACATTTCATGACAGAAATAGTGGCTAAGTGTAGTCTACTATCACAGATACTTCTTGGTTCTCTCACTTTCTTTAATGAAAATTTAAAAGAGCTGATGGTAAATTTTTCAGTTGCCTTTGATTTTTCTGGTAACTCGTGTTCTCTATTATGCTGTTAGAGAAACAAAACAAAAAAGTGCTCCACTTTGCTCACATTTCTAGAAAAGGCTCACTAACATCACATAGAAAAATCTAATACATACTTTTTTTCTCAAAAAAAATTCACTGCTTTGTTGTCTTTTGTTCTTCTTCCTTCTCTTTCTCCATGCCCCCTCCCCCCCACTGGGTGTTCATTTGTTAGGGGCACAAAGGTCCTTGCTTAAACTCACAGAGAAGCACTAAGAGAACCAGGAATGTTAATCATACAGGGGTGTCTCCTCAATGGAGGAGATAAAAATCAAATACCTGCATTCCATCTAGAAAGCTGAGAGTAGATTTTGTTAATGACCTGGTGACCTTTTTGCTATCTGTGGAGGCAGACCTCTGCTGTGGGATGTTCTGTATGTCTTGTGGGAGCCCTTCTTGGGTTCTTTGTGGCATTACCCAGCAGGTCCGCATAGAGGATGATTAGGACCATGGGCCTGAGTGCAGGTGTCTGAGATGGTCTGCACTTGGCTGTGCTGGGGGATGGTCTGTATGTCAAGTTGTTCTGATTGA